AGTATTTCGTTTCGACACCTGAAGTCGGACTTACCTATTAAGCCACTACTATGAATTCTCTCTATCTTAACGGGTACGTCGATGCTGATCATGCAGCAGATACTTCTAATCGTCGATCTCGCACCGGCTTCGTCTATCGTCTCGAACCTATTGGGACAATCTCCGGAAATTCTACAAAGCAAGAGCTCGTAGCTCTGTCATCTGCTGAAGCTGAGTTCATAGCTGCCTGCACAGCTACTCACAAAGGTCTCTATCTACAAGAGCTACTGGAGGAAGCAAAATTGACGACAAGTACACAGTTCACCCTGCAGTGCGACAACCAAAGTGCAATCAGAATTGCACACCAACCCGGTTTCGCCAACAGGACAAAACACATTTCGCTACGATACTTCTTCGTCAAAGATGAAGTTGAGAAGGGGAGAATGCGAGTGGTCTACTGCTCGACCAATGAAATGGCTGCAGATTTTCTCACCAAGAAGCTGACACGTCACAAGTTCCAATACTGCAACGAACTCTGCGGAATTGTCAAGAAGTGACACTATCGGACTTCCAGAAATGAAGGGGAGCGTTGTGATAAAATCGTACTTAAGCATTTCTGTAAGTAAGTTCCAATAGATATTATCGAGCTACACTGTAGTTAGCATCCGTAGCATGACGTAAGCGAATAGCGCTTGTCTGGATGGTTACGTCAGCAGGTCGTTTCAGTCAAGCGAACAGTCGCGCTCCTTTCAGTAGCGCTTAGATTGCATAGCGCAAAAAGTTTGAACAGATACATTACCGAGCAGGTACTTCTAGCAGATATAAGAATAGCTTGTATGACTTCAGTTATCAACTTGTTCTTGAGGAAATTCTGGACAATACTTACAAGTTCTAAGACTTTCGCTGTCTTACTGGTCTACCATTCCAGCAAAGATCCTTGTTCAAGTCTTGAAGTATCACAAGGCTGTAATACTGATTCAGGTGTTACAACTTGTGAATACTGGCTGTTACTGGAGGTACTTCCAGTACTACTTTCTACTTGAAGTACTGGTGTCTGCAGATTCTATACTTAGTCTCCTGCACCACCTTTCAATTTCTCCCTCTGCGAAGCCCTTGAGTGCGTTTCCATTGTAGAGTGCCGCACTCTCACAAACATTCGTGTAGGGATTTGGCACCGAGTAAGCGTGTGGATGATGTGTGATGTTTGTTAGTGTAGTAGCTGTAAAATGGTAGCCGAGGGTGGGGATTATGACGGATTTACGTCAAGTGTTCATTTCTCAAGGTAACGAAGTGAACTAGGAAGGGTGGTACATGGTAGTTTTGTGCTAGGTATTGTACTTGCTATGGCATGCACCTATCTAGGCTATAACAATATACATCAATATGTTGACACACCCCCTAGGCTAGACGAGGGGCAATGCTTGGCAAGAGACACGCAGCTCAGGGTGGCACTACTAGTCCAACCTCTGAGGCAAGGGTCCAAAGACAAGTTAGAAGAGTAAAAACTAGACAAGAGAAAACCAGGGCGGCACTACTAGTCCGACCACTGGAACAGAATGTTGAAATAGGTTGTGAGGTTACTAGAAGGTAGCTCGGTAGGGCGCCATGAAATGGCGAGATGTTTAGCTAGGGGGCAAGAGTTTCGAGAGGAAAGAGAGCGAGAATAGAAGAGAGAGGGATGCAAGGAGGGGGGTTGTAACCTCTACAGTAGGTTTCAGTTACACCTACCAAGCCAACTAATTATATATCAAAGATAAAATTTCACACACCCCCTAGGCTTGGTAGGAGAACATCCCACACACACCCCCTAAATCTAGCACCCTCATACGCAGCAGCAGCTACGGCTACGCCAGTGTGGTCAGAACCTCAGCGCGAGAGTCCAACGATGTCGTCAGTGAGGGCTGCAGCGGCGACGTCGTCAGCGAGGGCTGCAGCGGCGACGGCGGCAGCGTTGATAGCGGCGGCGTGCGGCGGCGTGGCCCCAACGCAAGCGGCGAGAGCGGCGGCGGTGGCGGCGGGCTCGCAGCACTCGACGACGTGGCCGGGCTCGCGACGGTGGGACAACGGCAGGAGTCAGCCGTCGGCTGCGGCGAGGAAGAGGGGACGCATGGGAAGGGGGGGCGGGGCGTGGTCACGCATCACGCCCGTGGCTGGCGTGCGGGCATCAGGACTGGCGGTGCCTCAGACGTTGCGCGGCCTGCTGGCACCCGACGACGCCGCACTGCAGCATTACGATGCCGCCACAACGCGGGGTCGATGCCGCGGCGGCGCTTCGGAGCTGCGACGGCAGCACTACGAAGCCGCCATGGCAGCTCGGGAAGGCTGCCACGGCGGCACGGAAGTAGCGACAGAAGAATGGGTATGCGGCGGAAGCGTGGGGAGCAAGGCCGGGAAGGGCAATCCGCTCTGTAACCATGTTGAAATAGGTTGAGGTTACTAGAAGGTAGCTGCGTAGGGCGCCATGAAATGGCGAGAGGTTTAGCTAGGGGGCGAGAGTTACGAGAGGAAAGAGAGCATGAATAGAAGAGAGAGGGATACAAGGAGGGGGGTTGTACCCTCTACAGTAGGTTTCAGTAACACCTACCAAGCCTACAAATTATATATCAAAGATATAATTTAACAGAGAAGCCATAAGGCCAGTCAAGGTAATATAAGATAGAGTACACAATCAAGGTCCTAGCAAGTGAAAAGCTACTGGAACTAGACCAAGCTGTACACAGTGTCACTGATGATCTTTAGGCGCAAGGGCCTTTGTAAAGATATCAGCTGTGTTGGCACAGGAGGCCAAGTGTACTACGCAAGTCTGGCGGCACTGCTGTAGCTCGCGCAGGAGGAAGTACCGCAGCTGGATGAGCTTCACTCTGCCCTCCGGTCTAGGCTCCTGACACAGGAGGATCATGGCCCTGTTGTCGGCGTACAGGACCAGGGCATGGCTAGGCCGCTCACCTAAGTCTGTGAGCAAGAAAGTCAGCCAACGGAGCTCCTGTGCCGCCATGGCACAGGTGTAGATCTCAGCCTCACAGCTAGACTGGGCAACAGACGATGAACGGGTGGACCTCCACGAGATAGCGCCTGCACCAAGGCTAAAGCCGTAGCCTTGGGAGGACCTGAGTGTCTTAGCGTCGTCCGCCCACGAAGCGTCTCTGTGCCGTGTAAGGACCACTGGCCTGCGTCCTCCTAGCACTAGCCTTATGCCCGATGTACTACTTGCTAGATAACGCAAAACTCTTTTAGCGCCCGACTAGTGCTGTGGTTGGTGTCTGCCTATGGCCACAAACTGAGCCAGGATGCTGAGAGGGTATGAGAGATCTGGATGAGTGCAAGTCATCAGGTACATGAGGCAAACCACCCGCTCTGCGTACGGACCACTAGGCTCTACTGACTCCTCAGGGACTGTAGCCGAGAGCTTGTGATCTATAGGCACAGGTGTGGGCTGTGTAGAGGAGAACTGAAGACGGAACCTCTGAAGGACCAAGCGCACCAAGTGTGACTGTTTGAGAGAATGCGCTGCTCTGTCCTTGGAGATCTACCGGCCAAGGTAGTGGCACAACTCTCCTAGGTCAGTGCAGGTGTAAATAGGTGGACGGGTGAGCCTCTGGGTCCTTGGGGAAAAAGCCAGTGAAGCCTGGTGGACGAGGCAGGTAGATCCGCTCGTGCAGACTACCCTGAAGAAACGCTTTCGAGAAGTCGAGAGAGTGCAGCTCGTAGTCAAGCTATGTAGCAACACCCGAAGAGTGGTCATCTTCGGGGTCGGGGTGAAGGTCTGGAAGAAGTCAACACCCTCGCGCCGACTGAAGATGTTTGTAGGCTCGGCACAAAACCTTTGCGCGCATCTGAAGTTCAATATAGTCTTCGCGACCGCCCCCACCAGAAGACTCCATGGGGCTACTTGCCCGGCACGTGATTGCAGCGGAAAAAGGGTCTGTTTAGGGGAAACTCGAAGGCCAAGGTGACAATGGGCGATGTGTTGTAGAGCCGAAGTGACTGCGTGAGCCATTCCTCATTCGAAGAACAGCTGCGAAATTAATTCCACCACATTGCCGTTACAACAGGCACAAATTCCTCTGTCGTCGGCAAAGGTGAAACGCGAGCCACTCGGGAGGGGGCGGGTGTAGAAGCGATAGAGCAGGTCACGTTGGAGGCTCGGTTGTTCTTTGAGGAAGTCGTGAGAGAGGTCGGGGATGAGCGGGGGAGCGAAAGGGAGACGGTTGGTCCAGCGGATGAAGTGGGTGAGGGGCTGTTGCTTGTAGAGTCGGTGTCGGATGGTGGCTAACATCGGCATCCCATCTTGCAGCATTTCCAGACTATCCCCTAACCCCGCGCCCGAGCAGAGGTTCCAATGAGCTAGTGATGTTGCACATGCACCGAGACGACCTCGCTAGGGTGCAATTTGCCGACCTCGAGGGGAAGACTGTCGATTTTGCGGTCCGGGTGAACTCAAAAAACCTTTGCTGAGATGGAGTTGGGTGGGAGGAAAGCGGTAACTTTGAAGGCTAGGGTCTGATTTGAGAGGAGCTCAGTGATATATATGAGCCATTCGCCGCAGTTGGGGGGAGGGCAGCAGGAGAGGGGGGTAGAGAGAGTCGTCCACCAAGCTTGGGGGATGGCCACACAAAGTTCCCGTAGGACGCGGCTGCCACTTGGGAAGGCATGGGGGGGGGTATAGTGCTTTGAAGGCGTCCTCAGATATGGGGCCAAGACCTTGGTCTTTAGGGGCGGCTAAATGGCCAAGGCGGAATTGAAGCGAGAGCAGGAATTTCTCATCCTTGATGCGTCCGAAAGGAATCCTGTTGGGGTTCGGAAAGCAAACACCAGAGGTCGAGTCGAGGGGGAAGGACCTCGGAGGGAAGAGATAGGAGACTATGCAGTTCTGTACAGAGTTGTTTCGGGATCGTGGGGGGTATGAAACGATCAGCAAACAGTGTCCTCAGGGTTAACGAAGGATTTTTTTTGCACAAGAAATACTTTTCGCATTAATATGCAGCTGCTGCTACTGCTGCTGCTTCTGCTTCTGCTATTGCAGCATAAACAATACAAAGCTCATAATTCAGAAGTTCCCCTCACCATCATCACTAGAACTAAACCCACTGCTAATGGCACTTTCCTCCTCTACCTCCCGCTCCTCCTCAGACAGCTCCACCACTACCTTCTCCTTGCCCTTGGCGGACTTGCGGTGGCGAACTTCCTGGCGATGAATCCACCTTGGCCGACACTTGTTCATACTGCGCCAGACGTCGATCACTTTGTCCCACTCCATCTCATAGTCTAGCAAAATCATACACATGAGGTCCTCCAACTTCACGTTGCACAAGCTCGTCTGGTTCCAGCTCTTTATCACATTGTGTCTTGAGAACCCCCTCTCGCACTCGACAGTGCTGAGGGGGGGCACCGCCATAGATGCCCAGAGCTTCACGAGATTGGGGTAGCTGCGGGGCCAGTCGCTGGTCTCAAGGATGGCAGCGAGACCAGCATGGAACGGCTGCCCCTCCTTGGGACATCCTGCAAGCACGGGTAGGAGGGTGGTGAGCTCTTTGCACGCCTTCCTCTTGTCCACACCTGCCACATACATTCGCAAGACAATAGAAGAGATTGGTTAAGGAGCAATCCAGCGACTTCATAATGCATGGATGCAATAGCAGCAACCAGTAAAATAAATTACTTACCTAGCAAGATTTTTGCCATATCGCTTGCGTGGAACAACTCAACAACTCCCTCCAGGTGCTCCGCACACTCCTTGTTCCGAGCCTCCGTGCTCCGCGGCTACGAATGCGGCATCCACATCTTGGCGCCGTTCAGCCTCTCCAGGTCGCCGAGCCGCAGCTGAATATTGTAGACCAGCTCCGTGGCGTAGGAGCGGCAGGTGAGATTGCAGGAGGTAATGTCGCCAACGGCGGTGGTGTACTTCGGTAGCGGCTCCTCATGAAGCTGGAACTGGTGCACGCGCTTCACCCCTTCAGCATCGACACCACTGATGTTCACATCGCGGCTCCCGACATGGCGCTCAAGGAACTTGGAGAGACGGTCGCTGTTCGTGCCGAAGTTCTGGCCGCAATTGATGTAGCGCGACCGGATGAAGACAATTGTCCACCGAACCTGTGACTGGATGCCGGTCAAGTCCACCTGTGGTAGAGGGTATAGGAATAAAGGAATACTGGATATGCATAAGTATAGTACTTAACGATGCAATACACCCATTGACGACTTACGTCACGCTTCTGGAAAAGCAGTTCAGCCCGTGCAGCTTCTCTAGCACGTCGGCGAGAAACTAGAGGTAAAAGTGGAATTTGAATGACGTGACAATGTGGTACATGGGCTTGTCGTAGAGCTATAGCAGAACGATGATTGCAGGAAGGACCGCCACTAGCCGAAGAATGGCAGCGCCGCGATTGAGCCAACGAACGAGATGAATCCCCTGCATTTCGAGATTCGTCATTGGTCACTCCGACCATGACCGCGACACCATCGGTGCTGATACCCGCCACCTTGCTTAGGGGGATCTCAATGCTGTCGCGGTAGGCGACTAGTGACTCTTCAAGTGAAATTGCATCACATTTGTTGACGGGGAGGAGGGTTAGAAACTCGGTAATGATGACACGCTCATAGAGGAACGTGGCAAACACAATCATGTGTTTGCCACGAACTCTGTCAGTGCTCTCATCACAACTCAAGCCGATAAAGGGGCTCGATTGGAGGAACTCCTGCTGTTAAGCGCGCAGAAAGATGGTCGTCGTCTTTGCCATCTCCTGGAAGCCATACCTACGCATAGCATGGAAGGACAGTGGCATCACTTGAAGGGTTCTGGAGAGCTGAAATGCAGCAGTTATGGAATCAAAGTCCAAGGAAGCACTTACGCCGTGAAGTAGGAACCCTATCCACGTCTGGGGAATCCCGTGGCGCGCCGCTTGGATAGTCGTCGCACGAGTTGCACCCACATTTTGATAGGCGCGTCACTCTGACAAATGAACATTAAGGTCTCGAGCAGAGGAATCACACGCTCACGTTGCACGTTGCTGGCCTTCGGCATGTCCTCCATGCGGAGCTGTCCTTCTGCGATCACCTTCGAGTCGCCTGCTTCCGCATCGCCCTTCGATACTTCCGAATTCGCTAGTGATTCTGAATGGTTTGCATCTGCACGTCGGTTGCTCCATTTCCGCCCTTGCCATAGTTGGTGCCTCTGCCTCTACGTTCCATACACATACGACACTTCAGAGCAGGGAATCCTGCACATGTCTGACAGAGAACAAGCCAAGGAAAGTCAATACACCAGCGTTCTTTGCACTGCCAAAGTGCATCCTGGTACTTGTTCTTGGCCTCATCTTCAAGCTTGGTGTCTGAGGATGAAGTAGGAACCATGGGAGGTACGACATGCAGCATAGGCATAGACGTGTCGCGTGACCGGCCGAAAGAAAGCATAGCTTGACGATAGCGTGACGGTTCTAACTTCCTCGACGGGGGGCCAATTCGTGTCAATCATTGGGTGGCAGAAACGTGAGGTGGAGTAGCGCGTTTAGATGTCGAGGCTACGGAAAGCCGAGAGGCTTTAGCAACTACTTCAGCAGTGCGCGCGAGAGAGGGCGTTCTAGCGGCGGGTGGATTTTGGCAAAGAAGGTCAAATCCCGACACGCCTCTAGCTCGTCCGGTTCTAGAAGGCTCTACAGAAGCCTCGCCATCATCGTCTTCTCCTGACGCAATCATTGTGCCCTCTGTCGATAGGGGGACTTTGACCGCACATAAACAGAACTACGAGCACAAGCAAGCTTGCCTAGAACAGAACATAGAATGGTTGAGCATTGTGACTTCAACCAAGCCAGAAAGGGAGTCGTGGGAAGGAAGGTCAGCTGGAGATGGCAATTCAATCGAATCACGGGACCATGGTTCTTCCACCCTCCCTAGGATGGCTGGGCAGGTGCATTCATGCATGCACTGCTGACACACACTTGGACAAGAGCACGCCATCCTCACAGCAACGCGGCATTTCTTGCGGGGTGTTGGCTGGAAGAATTAGCAAACATTGGCCAGAATTGCATAAATTTGCTGTGCACGCATCAAAGTGTGCGCGTTGTGCCAGCATATGTAGCAATTTACAGGGAAAATCTGCGCTGTCATGAAATTTGCGGTGATTTGGGCGGGGCGCACGCGGTGCACCCGAGACGCGCAGAAAATGGCAAGATTCACGGAATCATGGTTATCCCTGTAGGCATATCGACAGCTCATGGCTAGGTCTAGAGCACTATACTGAGAAGTCAGTATTGGCATATGAGTAAAAACGGAACTCAAAGGGTGAAAATATGCGTTCAACAGATTTTTCAGGATTGGCAGGCTAATGGCATCCTGAAAATCAGGAATTCATAATAAACCGTCCTGATATCTGAGGCCCTGGTGATGAATGCAAACCATTTTTTGGAACTCACAAATTGTTTTGCTTTTTGGTAGTGTTTTATTTTCAGCAATTAGGCTTGAAGCTTCTCCCCCCCCAGCTAGAGCTGGGGAAGCGATAGCCTAATATTCTTTTGATGACCTAGACTTCTTGCTTCCCCCACTTAGTTGGGGAGGCGATAACCTATTTTTGTCATCGACAAAAATATGCAAAGAGATATGATGGGAAACAGAGGCATTTACTTTTGTTTCCCATCAGGGATGTCGTTCAAAATTGAGTGTAATATATATACATATTATATTACAAATATCATACCAGTACCAATTATCCTCAGATTTTAAAGTGTGAGACTATAACAGTGACCCCTCTTTCTAGTTGGGCCCAACTAAAAACCACCCAACAGTGAATATGTTTTTGGAGGGGAGGTCAGCAGCCCCCGTGTTTTACCAAGCCGTAGGCCAGAAAATCGAATTGTGCTTGCGACATGTTTTACGACCACAAATTTGCGCAGTTAGCATTTCGACCAATCTGGGCCCAGCCTCGGTTTTTCCGAAGTACAGACGATGCCCAACCTTATTGCAGCTCAACCCTGCGCCCAATCATAATCGTTTCCAATAGCCTTCGATGTACACGCAATGTGAGATCACTTTGCGACGTGTCATAATTGAGTTTGTGACCAACATAAAGCAAGGGACAAGTCATTGCCGACGTGGTTTCGTCGCCACGGAACTGTGCACCGCAGTCGCTTGATCGCCTCACAAGAGTCGCACACTGGCAACAAGCATCGCCACCCAAGCCCCCCCCCACAAATACACCCTTTTCGCCGTGTGCTCGTGCGAAAGCCTCATTTGCCCGTGGCAAGGGCATGCGAAATACTTGTGCGATTGAATACCCGGCACCCTCAAATCATGTGCGACTTTGACGAGCTTCGTTTGTAGTGAACCCGGATCCAACTTGAAATTCAAGTTGGGCCCACTTGGTGCAGCTTACAGCAGTGGGGGCTGGGCAACAGGTGGCGCGCTGCTTGCGATTTTGCCCAAGCCATTTTCTCCACCGTACGTCATGCTTTCCCTGCCAACCAATCAGGTAACTGTGTCTTCTCGCCCCCTGCTCGCATTTCTCGACAGTGGAACCCTCTGCCCTATTGCAGTTTTGTCCCTTAGTCGCAAAAACGGACGTCTGGGCCTTTTCAAGTTGGACTCGCTTTCACTATTTTGACCTCTCGCTTTAAATACTAGAAAGCCAAAGACTAGCTTTATTTCTTAGTTCTTTCTTTGCTTTTAACAAAAACTTGAAAGAAAAAAAAAACCAGTCCAATCGATTGCTATAGGTTACTCTACAACCCAAGAACAAGTTTGCAATACTCCTCTGTATAAGGAGTTGCTGCTATTGCAAGGAATTTCCATTCCTTACTGAGTCGTACGCTAGCGCGTACACCCGAACTTCTCGACTCGTCACGTTCGGCCTCAATTGTCGGCCCAACTCTTTCCCGAGTCGCGTCCGGCACTGTCGCCACATTGCCGAACCTACCCACGTTCTGAGGTTATCACCCTAGCACGCCAACCCCTATATAACCTCGTGCCTTCATTGCAATCGTGACCTTGTACTCTCATATTATATTTCAGTGACCCTTCCCATATCATACCAGCTGGTATCAGAGCCTGACCTTTCTCGGGACCTTTTGTTTCTCAGGCTACTTAGATAAGGGTGCTCAGGGGGGACTAGCACGGCTGCACAACGGTTGTCTTGGGTCATAAATATTATTACACCAACAATTACGGCGTGTGCGCTAGCTTCTGCGTCGTCCTGACCGCCATGGCCCCGGTAGATTCGATAGTAGAGGGACAGTCCACCTCGACTGCTGCGAACCCTGCAAGCATTAATGGTGCAGTTGAAGAATTTGACAAGCGGCGTCAACAAACTTCGCGACGAGAATCAGCGACTTCGCCAAGCGCAGGAGAAGCGTCCAGAGGAGCCGAGCGACGATGTACGAAGAGAGGCGGGTGAGCAGGAACCGTCACCAGTGGAGCTGGCATGACTAGCGGCAACAGCCCCGCTCCTTTCTACCCAAATAATAAAGGCGTGACAGTGCGGCAGTGGATATTTGCCATGAATAACTATTTTAACGCGGCAGGCATCCGAGACGATCAGAAGCGGATCGGCCACGTGTTAACACTCTTGCAAAGGCCCGCCTTACAATGGTGGAAGGTCATCATCGACTCAGCGGCAACTCGCACAAAAGGACAGCATGATTGGTCCGAAGAATTTGGCGACGAAGACGAGACAGACTTGTTGTTGGGAGCATCCCAAGTTCGCACGTGGGCAACGTGGTGCGCGGCGCTTCGCACCTGACTCAGACAAGGCATGCAAAACTCTGCGCATGTGGAAGCAGCTGGGATCTGTGTCCGAGTACACCGTGTCATTCTTGACATTGGTGGACAGACGTGGCTACATGCACGAGTTGGAGAAGGTCGACAGGTACATGGGCAGCTTGAAGCCTGAAATACAGTACCAGATAAAACTGCAACGCCCTGCAAAGCGGTTACAAGACTACATCCAGCTCGCCGAAGCCGCTGATTCGATCACGAAGCCGAGGATGAACTTCTACGACGGAGGTCGCCCTCGAGAATAGTATCAGTGTGCCACGATAAAAGGGGTGGACGCAGTGGACATCTACGCAGTTGCTCCGCAAAATACGGGGCTATGCTACCACTGTGGCCAGCCGGGTCACATCCGACGCAACTGCCAAGAATTCATAGCCCTCCAGAATTCTATGGGGAAGAAGCCGGAGGAGCGACCGGGGAATGGGTCGCGTCAGTAAGTACCGGGCCCCTTACTGACGGGCAGGCTTCTTCGCCCGAACCACACAGTCCCCACCGGGTCGTGATCCCGATTGCCGCAATTGACCGGACCCGGACAAGTAAGGGGGATGAAACTGCTGATCAACCTGTGTTGGTGGAGGGTAAAGTCAATGGAGTGGTTTTGAAGATTTTCGTTCATGGAGGCGCGAGTCACTGTCTCATACAACTGGACAGGGCAAAAAATGTGGGCATACCCTTGCTCAAGTGTTTAACCAAAATCGACGCCCGACAATACGAGAGCGGGTGGAGAACGTCAGCTTTACCTCTTGGGAGCACGTAAAATTTTGCATGGGACTCCTGGCGACGACGCTTGACCGGTGCGATGTGCTGCTGGGACGCGATTGGCTGCGAAGGTACCACCTGAAGATCGACTGGACGATGGGCAGCTGCAGCATCAAGCTCGATGGCATTTCCTGCGAGCTACCCAAGTGGACGGGGCCTCGCATCCGAAGCACCCAAGTCCACGCGGTCACCTACAAGCGTGCGATGAAAGCTGGCGCTGCAGCATACGCCATTGATCTTTGTGAGGTGACATCGACGGTTGAGAACGGAGATATCGAGAAGCTGTGCAAGGCCATCCCTCCTGATTTTGCGGACCTGATTCGGAAATACTCAGAGATTTTCCCAGACAATCTGCCAGCTGGACTCCCGCCGAGCCGACCTGAGGACCACCAAATCGAGCTGGAACGAGGCACCCAACCGATGGTACAGCGCCAATTTTGGCTCATCCAACTAGAACTGGAAGTATAACAGCAACAGCTCGATTATCTTATGGGGAAAGGTTTTATCCAGCCCAGCACGTCACCATACGCCACCCCAATTCTGTTTACACCCAAGAAGGATGGAGGATTCCGAATGTGCATCAACTACCGAGCCCTCAACTGAATCACCATCAAGTCGCGTTACCCGATCCCTCGAGCCGACGACCTTCTTGACCAACTTCGCGACGCCAGGTTTTTCTCGAAGATTGATTTGCGAGGAGGTTACCACTTGATTCACGTCGCTGCCGACGATTGTCACAAGACGGCATTCTGAACCTGATACGGCAGCTATGAATACCTGGTGATGTCTTTTGGCCTCACGAATGCGCCCTCGACCTTCCAGATGACCATGAATGGAATTTTCAGGGAACTCTTGGACAAATGCGTCATCATCTACCTCGATGATATCCTAAGCTACAGCCGCAACAGGGAGTAGCACTTAGCAGATCTTGATGCCGTCTTCACGCTGCTGCACAAGAACCGCCTCATCACCAAAGGGTCTAAGTGTGACTTTCTTAAGCAGGAGTTGGAATTTCTAGGCCACATCGTCTCGACCGAAGGAGTGAAAATCGACCCC